GACTCCCAGGTCCCATGTCCTTAGGGAATGACTTAGCGGACAAGGCTACAAAGCTGGTGGCCGCTGCCTTGTCTACCCATGCACAAGCAGCAAAAGAATTCCATCAGCGCTTTCATGTGACGGCTGAGACCTTGCGCCGTCGTTTTGCTCTATCCAGGAAAGAGGCTAGGGAAATTGTTACTCAATGCCAGAATTGCTGCGAATTCTTACCTACTCCCCACATGGGAATAAACCCACGTGGCATTAGACCATTGCAGATGTGGCAGATGGATGTTACTCATATTCCCTCTTTTGGAAGGCTTCAATATGTTCATGTTTCTGTTGACACCTGTTCTGGCGTAATGTTCGCCACGCCCTAACAGGGGAAAAGGCCTCATATGTGATTCAACATTGCCTTGAGGCCTGGAGTGCTTAGGGAAAACCCAGAGTTTTAAAAACAGACAATGGACCAGCATATACCTCTCAAAAATTCCGACAGTTTTGTCGGCAAATGGATGTTACCCATCTAACTGGCCTACCTTATAACCCTCAAGGACAGGGCATTGTGGAACGTGCCCATCGTACACTCAAATCATATCTGATTAAACAAAAGGGGAGTATTGAGGATGTTCTACCCTCGGTACCAAGAGTTGCTGTATCCATGGCACTTTTTACCCTTAATTTCTTGAACTCTGATGCCCAAGGCCACACTGCGGCCGATCGCCACAGTTTAGAGCCTGATAGGCCAAAAGAAATGGTAAAATGGAAAGATGTCTTGACTGATCTCTGGAAAGGCCCGGATCCTATTCTTATAAGATCCAGGGGAGCTGTGTGTGTTTTTCCACAGGAGGAAGAAAACCCCCTGTGGATCCCTGAAAGACTCACTCGAAGAGCTCCTTCACAACTCCAGAATAAGAAGGATGGAGGCCAAGTGGGTGATGAAGACTCTCCTACTCGGGATGATGGTTCCTAGTATGATGGGAGAGTTACGGTGGGCCATCATGTCTACCTTCCCCCTACCGATGCCAGTGATGCAGAATGCCCAGGTGTTCCCTAGATTTTTCACAACTAATAGAGAGTTGGGGCTTGCCTTTTTGCCTTTAGATCCTCAGATACAGAGTTTTCAGGATGAGAGAACCTTGTCATTAGTAGGAAGCTTGTGCTTTACTGTGATTTCTTCATTAAAGGATAATTTTATTCATATGGATCCAGAAAGATCTAATGCTAATCCTTTTGAATTAATGGAAGCTGTACTGATCTTTCTCCTATGGCAATGATTGCTGGAGGATATAGTGAGAAGGGACAGATTACTTTTGATTGGAAAGGGGCATTAGGCAACAGTCTGAGTGAGGGACAGAGCTATGGATCATCTGATTGGTCCTCCTCCAATGTTAAGTATACCCCTTTTAAGAGAACTAATTATTCAGCTGCCCTTTATTTGGGTTGTGAGTAATGATACCTTAGGTAAGAATCAGAAAGAAATAAATTGCTCTGCTTAGAATTGTTTTTATGCATTATGCTGGGATGCTATTAAGCACCCTTTTGCTTTGGTAATGCGCATGCCTCGATTTGTTCCAGTTCCTGTTGAGACGCCAAGTAATTTGAGTTTGTTTAGGGAAAAGCGAGATTTTTGGGATCTCTGCTATTATTGTGGGCCTGATAGCCACCGCCGCGGTTACTGCTTCGGTTACCGCCTCGGCCCTTGCACTTTCTGCCACTGTGCAGACAACTCAAACCATTAATGAACTATAGGCCACTGTGACCATGGTCCTAGATAAACAGGCCACTGCCAATTCTCAGATACAAGGAGGCCTGATGTTGGTAAACCAACAGATTAATTTGGTTCAGGAACAATTGGATATATTGTGGCAGATGGCCCAATTGGGATGTGAACAAAAGTTGCCTGGCCTTTGTGTCACTTCAGTACAATATGAGAATTTTACAAGAGCAGCTAACCTGTCACAAGCTCTGTCTCAACATTTATTACAGAATTGGACTTTTGAGTTTGAGCAGACACTCCGTGAGTTGAGAATGGCGATCCTGCAAGTGAATTCGACGCATCTGGATCTTTCTCTGATGGAAGGCCTCTCCTCCTGGATTTCATCTGCATTTTCTTATTTTAAGGAATGGGTGGGGGTAGGTTCATTTAGCCTAGTTCTCTGCTGTGGAATAGTGTTGATGCTTTGGATGGTGTGTAAGCTCAGAGCCCAAACAAAAGAGACAAAGTGGTGGTGGCACAAGCACTTGCTGCCTTAGAACACGGAGCCTCCCTGACATTTGGTTAACCATGTTAAAGCAATAGGTCGCTGGCCTCCCGGCTCTTGCACCCCACGAGGCTAGTCTCATTGCACGGGATAGAGTGGGTAGGCTTCAGCAGCCCAAGGAGTTGCAAGGCTAAGCACTGCACAGGAGAGGTCTGCGGTATAACGACTTTCTCCTGGGAGATAAGTCATCTTGCATGAAGGTTCTATGTCATGATCTCCTTCCCCCAGAAAAACGACATCGGACTGGTCAGGGCTCTCTCTGGGGATAAGACCCTGGAGAGGAGCTTTGTACATGTTCCGAATTTGCACATGGGGATTTGACCTCTATCTCCACTCCAAAGTTGTGGGTGTCCTATTGCTTCAAAAATAAATGAATAGGGGGAGATGTGAGGAGCCGCCCTCGCTATCGCTATTGCCGTTAGAAGATGGCGCTGACATCTGCTGTCAGTTGGAGTTAACCTTTAGAAGATGGCGCTGACATCTGCTGTCAGTTGGAGTTAACCGTTTAAGCTGTGCCTCTCCCGTGGCGTCATCTGGGGTGATGTGCAAACCACCAATCCCGGCTCTACACGTCTCACTCGGAGCTCCTAGGCTTATATAAGGGGCTGGGTTTCTTAGCTTGGGGTCTCCCTCTAAGAAGCTGATCATCTATCTCTCAAGATGCATTAAAGCTTTACTGCAGAAGGATCCGAGTGTTCTGCGTCGTTCTTGCTGGCGAGACGGTAGCGCGGGACAGTGAATATATCACAAAAGTAAACCAAACAATGTAATAAACCACCATGTTCCTGCCACCCCAGCTTCAACCACTGTTGAAGTTTTGTTCATCGTTACTTCCCTGTCGCCCCTCGTACTACGTCACCATAGATTATTTTGAAGCAATCCACACATCTTCATTTGTAAGTACTTCTAAATGAATCTCTAAAAGCTATGTGTTCTGTTCCGAGGATCGTTTAGCAGTAACCCCTCAGCATCTAACATCAGTGGTCCCACTTCCCATCATGCTCAAATGTCTTCTGACAGGTGGACTGTGTGGCCCAGGACACCAGGAGGCTCCTGTACCACAGTGGATTGAGTACTCACTGTCTTTGGTTCCCACAGAAACAGGCTGGGATGTAATGGTTAAAGTAGAAATAGTTTGGAGTGGGGTGAGGGCAGAGGGCAGGCCAGTAAAACCAGGAGGGGAGTGAGGCGGGAAGGCCACCCACAGTGCACTGTCATGGAGGGAGGTGGGGCACTCTGGGTGATGCCAGAGGCTCCTCCCATTTTTTTTCAACCTCAGGGGAATTTGAGTACTAGCTCCTGTCCATCACAGCTGGGGACTGATACAAGGTTAGGAATTCCCTGACACTCTCTTCTGCTGGCCACGAATAATGAAGAGAACAGAACAAATGTCCTCAGGCAAAAGGCAGGGTCACAGGTGTCCCTAGTGCACAGCCTTCATCCAGCAAGCCATAGAATTAGAATTGGTAGGGAAAAAAAATTTAATAGAACTACCACATGATTCAGGCATTCCATTATTGGGTATCTGGCCCAGAGAAAGGAAGTTGATGACATGCCAGAGAGACAGCTGCCCGACCATCATCATTTCCAACCGCTTCATAATAGCCAAGAAATGGAAAGCACCCAGGTGTGCATTTGCTAATGAATGGATGACGAAACGTGGCACAATGGAACACTGCTTTTCCACAAAAGGGAATGAGCATCCAGTCACATGCGACAACATGGACGGAGGCAGAGGGCACTGTGTTAAATGAGATAAACCATACAGAAAGACAACTGCCCCATGACGTCACTCGCGGAATCCAGCGGAGTTGAGCTCGTGGAAACCAAGCAGAACGGTGGTGATGAGAGGCTGGGAGAGTGGGGACAAGGTGCGGAGGAAAGCTGGTTTCGGGGCTCCCAGACAGGAGGAAGCTCCTGGGTGTGAGTCCCTGTACGGTAGCCAAGGGCAGCAACGTGCCGTGTGCGGTTTTTAAGCTGCAACAGAGGATTCTCAATGTTTTCATCATAAATTAAGAAGATAAACGGAGGCTGGATACGTTTGCCCGGGAGGGAACTACAGAGTGTGTCCACTGCGCCAAAACATCACTAAGAGGCTTATAAACGTAGACAATGTGTGCTCCAGTGGGAAATAATAAGAAAAAAGTGTGTGTGTGTGCTGGGGGTGGTCTCAAAAAGTAGAGTGGCAGGAAGACAGTGCCACCTGCAGACTCTTAAAAGTCGCACTCCTCCAATGTCAGAATTTCCATATTAATCCTAGTAGAATATATTTCCATGGTGTTACATTGTTCCACTAGCATCTGTATGTGTTTGTATGTGCATGCATGTGTTCATATGTGAACATACATGTGCAGATGGACATGGTGTGGAGGTGAAAGGTCAGTGGTGAGTGTTTTCTATTCCTTTACTATATCTTTGAGATAGGCTCTTCCACTATGTTCACGTAGACCAGAGGGCCAATGAAACCCAAGGATCGTCCTGTCTCCTCGCTGGAGATTTCACACAGGGACAGGAATTTGAACTCAGATCCTCATGCTGTGTGGCATGCATCTTAATCATGGAGCCATCTCCCCACCCTATCCTCTGGATTTTATATAAACTAAATAAAAGATTGACTGGACCATGATTCTACCAGGTAGTAACGCTGTACCCCTCCTCTTGCATCTCATCAGGAAGATGGACTTAGGGCCTTGAAGCAAGCTTGTCTCCCCTTTCCCAGTTGTTCATGACCACGTGCCTTAGGAACCAGATACATACGAGGTACATATGAGGTGGACAAGCCTTGTCACTCCTTGTGGTCACATTTCCAGTAGGGTTGGCATGCATCCTAGAACACACACATGAAGATGTCATAGATCACCTCCACACCCATCCCCCCCACACACACACTCCTTAGACCTATTTCATTTCAAGCTTGACACTTTGGGAACCAACTTTAAGAGCGCAAATACCACACAGATTTCTGACTTAGAGTTTGGCCTATGTGAATTATATTCACACTGAGCTCCAAGAAGCCCACAGCAGACTACTCAGCTTTGAAATCCATCCACAGTGCCTCCCCGGAGAAGGCAGCCTTGCTACACTTGCCATGCACAGACAGTGTTCACCCAATGAACAGGTCAGGGATCTTACGGATGATAAAGTTAACTCCCAAATGGCACTGTCTAAACATGGTTTCCTATGGGGCTGATGAGGTGAGGGCCTTAACGCTGGTTGGGCTTGCTGTCTTTCCCAAGATCCTTCTCACTTGCTGCCATTAAATTGCCACACTATGCCCACAGTGTCCAACCCCTCATTCAGTAAACACTTGCTGACCTTCTGGGCCCATGTGGGGCCTGGGTTGGCCATAGTGGGAAGGGTTTCTTCTTCGTCTCCATGGTGCCAATTTCCAAACAGCACCCAGGAATCACAGCCTTCAAGAGTTCAGAACCACTGTGACTGGCAGTTACCTCCTCCAGCTGAACTAAGTCACAAAGAAATATTGAGCTACAACACAGCTCAGCTATTCTAAGCTAAAGTTCCCAAGGATGCTGCTCCCACAGGATTGTTATGGCTCAGTTTCCAGGGACTATCCCACCCAGACAGAAATCCAGGAGTGGCTTTTGGTGAGGCTGGGCCAGGTTACAAGTGAAGCCGATTGTGACATCACAAGGGCTGTAAGCACGCATTTCTTGTTTGCCTTCAGAGCACCCCACCCCCTACATTCTTGCTTATGCCCAGAGAAGATATTTCCAGGCCACAAATAGCAGCTTCTATCCTCTACACTGATAAGAAAAAGCAAATTGTCATCCGTCACACTTAGCATGAGCGACACAGAAGCCACCTGGGAAAGTTAGTGTGAAAAGCATTCCATTAAGGGACATTATTGCCATAAAAACAAACAAGCAACAGCAAAGCACAGGCAGCAGAAACTCTTGAGGAGAAAGTCACATGGCCAGGCATCGGGACTCCCACCTCATTGGCCTTCTGAGGTCGGTTTCCACATGAGGTACTAGCCTTTCCCCAAGGTCTTAGCAGACTTCTCTCACCTGTGCGATTTGGTCCTCAAAGACCCTGCTCTCCATGCCTGGTCAAATACACTTTTTTAAAAAATGGGACAGAGACAGGGTATAGCATCCTGCTATCTGTCCATCTGTCTACCTCTGAGCACACTCACCAGTCACACGATGACCTGGGTGTCTGCCTCCAGGCAGGCCTAACCCTCTTGCCAGTGTTCAGCTGGAAAGGGCAGGCAGACGTAGCCACTATGCTTTAAATGTCACTGGATCCTGAGGAGGATGTGGTTGACTTTCTCAAGATCACACAACAGTCTAGACTGAGTCTAAGGTTGCCATGCCCACCACCACCCCCACTGTCTGAGGGCGGATGGTGTAAACCAGTGGAGAGGGGTTCGCCCCATCAGAGGACTTGGGAAACACTCTGGAGAAGTAAACTGACTGACGGGTGGGGAGGGAAGGAGGTGACCGTTGTTACAAGGATCATGGAAATTGAGGTGGTTTTTTCCCTTTTCCTTTGACTTTACCGTGCACCTGCACTAGTGGGTAGATCTTGAAGTAATTAGGAAACAGACAACCGCGCCTGAAGATGAGTTGCCTGGAAGAAAAGGCTCATTCCCTACGTGCCACACAAGAAGCACCATCTACCTGTGAGATAGTGCAAACCAGGTTTGGTGGCTCATTTCCATAACCCCAGCAACAGCACCCAGGAGGTGGAGGCAAGTGGACAGCCTCAAGTTCTAGGTCAGACAGGGTGAATACAAAAAAACAACAACAACAACAAAAAAAAAAACAAAGAAGGAACAGAATAAAGGGCTTGGGAGTTGGGATAAGAGGTACTTGCAGATCGGAGTTCTATCCCAGAGCCATGTAAACAGGCAGGTAGAGGGACACTTGCTTTCCCAGCATTGGAGCAACACAGGATCACAGGATGGATCCTCTCTCTCTCTCTGTCTCTGTCTCTGTCTCTCTCTCTCTCTCTTTCTCTGTCTCTCTCTGTCTCTCTCTCTCACACACACACATACACACACACACACACACACACACACCTGTGCATTTCACATTTTAGTTTTTGTTTTTTCAGAGACGAGTAGAATGCATGCAGAATGGAGGTACTCCTTAAGCCACAGGGCAGGGCTATGCACTGACAGGGCCCTGCACCTTGCTCTCCAAGCCAGGCCAGCACAGGTTCAGCACAGCAGGACTATAAGGTCCCCAGGCAACCCTAGTAAGCAGCACGGTAACTTCCAAAGTAGCCAGGATCTTTGCTAAAAACTAGCTGTCCTGTGGGAGTGCCACCACTCAGCTTCAAGCTCCAGACTTGGGGGCTGTGGCTAGGGGCAACAATAGTACTGGGAACACTCAGAATGTCACATGTACACCAGCCCTGCTCATAAGTAAGTGGAACATCAGAGGCCTAAGACAGGAAAGGAAAGCAGGAAAGGAATGAAACCAGTGTCTTGACGAGTAAGACCCCAAGCCCTAGGGCACACAGACTTGCTACAGAGAAGAGTGAAAACGCCACAGGCCCATAACAAGAAACAAGAGGAAGGGCCCCCAAAATAGGCCAAGTGTGAGAAACAGAAGCAAACACAGCAAAACTAATGGAGATAAAAAGGAGACTGCAGGGAAAAGTAAAACACTCTCAAATTAAAACATACAAGACATGGAACAACTTGCTTAAAAAGAGAAAAAGACATGAGAAAGCATTATACCAAACCAAAGGGACAGACAACCAGATCAACTAAGAAATTGATGACAGGGTGCTGTAAAGAACAAAAGAAAATGAAGGTGAAGGATGTCAGGGATACTCAACCACACTGTGAGCCCCAAGCTTACATTTGTGCTAATTGAAACAAGTTAACCCTGCATCAGCAAGTAGTCAACAAAGTAATCACAGAGCCTCTGAGCATCAGAGCGCATCCAGGAGAGACAGAGAAACACAGGTAGGAGTGGGGGGGGTGGTGGTGTGGACTGGCACAGGTTTTTCTGGTTTTTCGAGGAAGGTCTTTCCTGGACACAAGCAAAGAGAGAGGGTTAGCTAGTTGCTACTCAGTCTCTCTGCGCTCACAGGTTTTCACCCCAGCCTTTGAATCTCGAGTCTTATTCATAATTAGAATAGAGATTTAGTTAAAGTTGCCTTTAGCAGCAGCAGGGCTGGTGCCTGAGGCAGCAGGATTCTCACCAGTCTACAAACTGAATGCCAGGTCACTGCTAGAGGAGCAGGCTGGTAACTGCTGAGCTGCAATTGCTGTCTGAGATAGCAGTAGATTAAGGCACACCCACTGTGCCAAAGTTAAGAAAACATTTGGTGCTGTATGACCACACGGACAAAGGAGTCACACCAACCAGCTCTGACGAAGTTGCCTTGGGCCTTTTCAAGAGAGGACTCACAGCAGGCAGACTCCGGAAAACAAGCTCACATTTGGAAATTGCTGGGAAGGGCTTGAGTTCATTGCTGACACCTCGGACAAACTACTGAGAAGTCAGTGGATTTGGTGAGATACCTGAGAAGTCCTTTAGCAGAGAGTTAAAGAAAAGTCTTAGCCTGGCAGTGGTGGTGCACACCTTTAATCCCAGCACTTGGGAGGCAGAGGCAGATGGATCTCTGTGAGTTTGTGACCAGCCTGGTCTACAAGAGCTAATTCCAGGACAGCCTTCAAAAGCCACAGAGAAACCCTGTCTCAAAAAAAAAAAATCTTTCCCATGTTAAGAAAGGGAAACACCATAATGCAGGGTGCTAGGACCCTGTATAGTGTTTCTATGGATGGTTTGAAAAAGGAAATTTTAAATAAGGAGATAAATGACTTAGCTGGGATTGACATGTCAATTGCAATTACTATCAGTTTGGTAACTAATATTTTATCCTTAAAAAAGTGGTTTGACTGTACCAAATATGATAACTTGAATAGGAAGATACAAGTTTTAGAAAGACTACTGATAAGATACAGACCTTAGAAAGATTTACTAATGAAAATAAAAAAGATTTGGCTGATAAGACATAAGCCTTAGAAAGACTTACTATTGATAAGATACAACCCTTAGAAAGACCCACTGATGAAAATAAGAAAAATACTCAGACACAGACAGAGGAATTTAGAGCAGAACCTACCACACCATTGCATTATGAAACTGAAGGGGAGGAAGCTCCCTAAGGTTATTAGAGCACCCATCTTAATTTATCCAGTTACCATAAAAGACTGGATGATAGGTATCCTCAAGGCTATGCAGAAGTTAATTGGAATCCTATAGAAATGTTAGATTTGAAGAGATTTAAGGAAGCAGTCATTTTATATGGTATGCATTCAACCTTTGTGAAACAAATGTTAAATTCATGGACCACTAGGAACAGAATTATCCCACAAGACTGTAAAGATTTAGTTACAGAAATGTTGGAAGCTGGTCCTCAATTACAATGCAAATAATGGGGGAGAAAAGAAGCTAGAGTCATAGAATAACAAGGTAGGGCTAGAGGTCATTAGATTTTCCAAGACCAGCTTCTTTATGATTTGCAGACAGTCTATGTACTGATGGTAATATCTTGGTTCTATGACATATAGCCACTTTGAATGTTTGAGACAGGATTGAAGAATCTGGAAAAAGAACTGAATCATTTACTAAAATTATACAAGACCCAAAAGAAACCTTCACTGATTTTTTTTTTACAAAGATTGATTTCAGCTGTGAATAGAATGATATCAGCTCCATACATTAGACAAGTACTAATTGAAACTTGGGCTTTTAAAATACTAATTCAGAATGTAAAAGAGTAATTAGGCCTTTAAAGGCAAGATCAACACCCACAGATGAATGGATCTGAAATGTAGCTGATATTGGATTTTACCTTATGATGATACTTAGATAGGAGAAGTGATTTCTAAAAATTATTTTTTAAAAAAGTCAAAAGGTCAGATGCTTTAATTGTGGTAAACTAAGCCATCTGAAAAGACATTTTATGCCAAGAATAAATAAAGAAAGCATCACATGAGAATCAAAGGAGGAGGACACCATGTATGGTGGCACACCACAGCAATACCAACATTTGGGAGACGGAGGCAGGAGGATAAAAACTCAAGGCCAGGTCTGATTACAAAGTGAATGTGGCCACTAACACAAATTCACTGGCAAAGCCAGATACTACTGCAGAAGGTGTTGAGAGATACAGAGGGAGGGGAATATAGAGAGGGGGGAATATTTAAAAGAAGACAAAAGCAAGAATGACCTCAACATTTCAATATTTCATCCAAAACAAGAGACGTCACAAAATGGCAGTGGTAGAGCATTTGCCTAGCACACGTATGGCCCTGTGTCCAAGTCTTTCACCACACCATAAAGACGTTCTCATGACTGTTATATAGAGAAACCCTGTCTGGGGGATATGGGGGGGTTTATTAAAACATATATCCAAGAGGCTGAAAAAGCTATTTCTTTTCTTC